CTAAAACTTACCGAAGCGAAAGACGACGGAGGATCTCCAATCGTTAGATTATTCTATGTCGAGTCTATTACTGAGAGAATTCCTACTTAAAGGCAGTGACCGCAGTAGTAAGAGGGCGGTGCGGTTTAATAACATCATTGAACGTTATGGGCGGAAGTGGTGTAGTGGCAAGTGGCACGCTTACCACGCGAGCGGTCCGGGGATCAAATCCTGGGTCGTGAGTCGCCCGGGCCAACCAAGCCTTCCATCCCTCCGGGGTCGGTTAATTGGTACCAGACTTGTCTGGGAGGATACATCGGCTGGCCCCCGCAAGTCATTGTATAGGCCACATCGCATTCAAACGCCAATGTACAAATGGAAGTAGAATGCGTGCCGCATCCCAAAAAGGGATTGATCAACGGCAAATGCTTTATCCTTTTTTTGAACGTCATTGGTAGACTACGCCTCACTGCGCTGGGGTTGGGACCGCCCCTTGAAGCCCTTCCACCAATAACGTTCAAGGAGTCACCAAAACCGCACCACCCTCCAGCCATCGTGGTCGCTGCCCTTAAGTCGTATGCATGATTGGTTAGTCATAGGAACAGGATCTATCTGGTAGCCTCGAAAAGCCTACTGTAATTTTTCCGAGGTATAAAAATATAAGAATAATTACTCCATCTTGTGGCGATGGGACCTTATCAAAGCGATCGTGGCGCATTAGATATACGACCCCTCCTTCACCTTTTGGTTTCAATAATGTCAAACCGAGGATATTTCCAACCATGCCCACCTCCAAAATCCCCCAGCGTAACAATTTTTCAAATAGCCCCGCCTCCAAAACACACGAACGAGATTCACCATCACCCGACCGGGCTCAAAACTATTACGATCCCCTCCTCCTTTGAGGGCCCGATACGGCTTCTTTCACTCGTGCAGGGCTCATCCATTAATACGACCACTTTCTACCAGTCCGCTACCACGTCTCACACCACGATGGCTGTTTCTATAGCACGCATGTGATTCTAAGACCGTTCGGCACCACACTCCAACTCCGGTTGGGTCGGATTCCAGGAGCTCCTCTAAAATTAGCCTAGAGGGGATAGGTTACCTCCGGATGTTCAGATTTCTCTCATCTTTCTTTCACTATACTTTTTGGCGTCCCTCCTATCCCTCCATTATTTTGGCATTTATATTCCATACACTTATACTTTGCCTTACCCCGAGTTGAAGCGCACTGCAAACCCAAACCTATAGCGCTCCTAGATGAGCTCATGAGTGACTGCATTTGATCATCCATACACACGGACCTTCAACAACCGCATGCGATCAAGTCACATCTGGCTCCTGCTGAATCGTAATTAGAGCATCGGCCAAATTTACCCACTCTAAGTCTTTGAGCGCCGGTCACCTCACATACTGATCAGCAACCTTGAAACCGGCTCGCCTGCTAAAAGTTAATTTAATCATAAATACTCGGAAGTCAAACATATCAGATCTAATAATTCGAAAAAGAAGCAGGAAAGGAAGACGGGCAGCCAGGTTGAATTTTTTAGGCGATACTTCTGACAAGTTTTGTGAGTTCAACCTACTACGATACTTCTGAGTTCAAGCTACTAGTTAGGCAACTAACTGACGCCGAACATCTTTTAGGCAACCGCGCATGGAAAGTCTATCCTTTCTTTCGTCACACAAGTGTTCTGGTGTGGTCATAAATGACTATCAAGGAAGAAAAAAGCTAAAAATGAAATTTTGATAAACAACTTGGAAAAGCTGATCTCTTGAACGCCCACTTATGAACTAGGGCGGAGCTAAAGGGCCCATGTGATAAGAGAACGTAGTGGTCCCCAGCCTGGCGCGAGAGATTTTGAGAAATCATAACTAGGAAATTCGTTCACGTTTACAAGCTTAACATGTTGACACGCGTCACCTTCCACACCACCGATATTTACGATGAAAATTCAAAATACTCACAGACCACCTGATTATTCCGACTTTGCAACAGAAGAAACGCTTAAAATATCGCTCTTTTTTATGCTCATAAAGCACGAGGGCTCAGGTAACGATGTTTCCGTTACAAGAAGCACTTCTTTTTGTGCACTGTACCTTTAAGTAACTGCCAGTACACTAGTGGTGTCAATTTGATATAGGAAATGGGCGCGTTAGCTAAAGGGCCACTTACGAATGGGATGATCTTTCGAGTAGGGTGCTAGGTGTGGTTTCGCTGGAAAGAAAGCTACTTTTTCAGCAGCGCGAACCATTTTCTGCGGGAACCCTAGATCCACCCCCGATCATGACTGGATCATAAATTCTCGCAGCGAAAAAAAATTCAAAAAAAGTGCGAAAACGAAGAAGTTGTTTTCTGTCGTAGCGAACCACACACGGGTATCAGCTTGCTTCAAACCAACCCATAAGACCAAAAAATCAACAAGGAACTTATTTTTGGATTACAAAATGTTCATTAAAGTATCAGTTGCTCTTAAAAATCAATATGTAAGACAACCGCGCATACAAACAGCTTCAACGTTTTCAACGAAAATCAAGTGCGCTGCGCATACTCACCAGGTCGGTCAAAGACCAACCTCCCCACTACCGCGGCCGTTTGCCCCCCGCCATGAAGAAATTGTAACATCAGTTCCACTATAAAGTTCATATTGTTTCAGGCTACTGCCCGCTTTCTGATGAGAAAAACCCTGCCTGCCCGTCGTTCAAGCCATGCACGTGAAATTAGGCCAAAGACAAAGATTAGTGAACGGCACACAAAGCAAAGCACAAAAAGCTGTTGGACCTCCTTCGCCGCTTCCGCTACCGCTTCTTCAGTGACCGTCTTGGCGATTCCTTCGGCGATCGGCTGTGAGTTAGAGATCGATTAGAAGCATCACAGTGATTGTTAACAAAAATACATGCAAGCAGAAAAAACAATGAATTTTCAGCAAATAGCTTCAACTTCACTACACATACATCTACTTTTCTAGAGTTTGGGATAAAGTCATGGTCTTGAAAATTTCTTCTATGACAAGAGATTTGGTGCCTAAGCAGGTGTTCTTAATTTGTGCCACAATTAGGAGTACAAACGTGCAGGAAAAGCTGTGGTGCATCGAAAACAATTGTGACAAATGAATGGCTACGTGCGAGACTTAAAGGCACACTCCACGATTACCTAAAAAAACGAGATTTTTGCGTAATAAGGTAGACTGATTCGAAAGCGCACTAGCTGTACCAAATCCATGCCTGAAGTTGTGTAAAATAGGGCCGCTATGGCCAAGCGTCGGCACCGTGATCCCACCCACCACTTGTACACTTTGAAGTGCAAAAAGTAGATGCTGTCTGTGTCCCACTCGCCACTACGCTCTCATCATCTTGGTGTGTGATCCATTATCCTTTCACATAGTGCTCTAGATTTTAACACATTGCGTACCACGTGCGCCACCATGTGGCGCACGATTTGGAGCGGAAAGTCATAGTTTTATCTGATTTATTTGGCATTTTTCAATGCTCCTTAAGTGCTTGCACTCATTTTCAGAACCAGGAAAGCATAAGTATCATCACTGATAAAATTTTAGATTAATGATGATTCATTTTTTAAAAACATGAAAAAGGTATGGAGATGCTCGTATAAGGGCGGTCCGCAATGTGTTAAACTAGGAATACTCAAAACGAACCACAAAGAAGGGCTTTTTTGACCATGTTTTAATTGTTTGTGGCTCACTTTTTCCTTTAACTAAAGACTTAGAGAGGCGTCTCTTTGGCAGCAGTGGTCGACTCCTAAGCACCTCAACGCCTACAATCGTGGAATGTGCCTTAGGTTTCAGTATTACAGCGCTTTGAACTTATAACACATGTTACGCAACAAGTTGAATCTTTCAAATTTTTTGAATTCTGACTGAAAGTTCAGGTACGGTAGAAAGAGGGTCAAAGGGCTATATCCCTGGCCCCGCAATTGGACTGAGCTACGTGCTGACTTACTCGAAATGAAAACTCATTCCCACAACATGACATGTTTAAAAAAAGGTTGTAGAAGCTGTCCTGAGGAGGGGAGAGAGGGGCTGGCTCTGGGTGCAGCGGAAATTAGTAGCGAGATGAGATAAGAAAGATAGAGGTATGCTGAACGCTCAATGTATTGGGGTTGACAGGGCCCAGAGCGTTTTGGGGTAGCTCTACGAGGATGAGGGATGACGCCTTGGTGGAGTCCACGCAAAAAAACTAGTCAAGAGAAACAATAGGAAAGAAACAAAGGAAAAGACGCGGCCGTGGGAGTTTCAAAACCTCTCAGTGCTTACAATACCGGACGATTGGACTATTACCTGTCACCTGAACCAAGACCTCCAAACCATTATCTATAAAAGGGATTCCGAGCGGTTTTGAGCCTGTCGACTCAATCGACCTAACTTTGAGCAAAGAAGCAATTTGTGAGCCTTAGCATTAGCTGCTATTTTTTCTATGCTAGTTAATAACCGAAGTGATTACCCCTGGAACTTTGTCTGGAGAATGAGGTGGAGTGCCGGTGACACGTTTTACTTCTTCGACAATGGCAGTGGCTTTGTCCTGAATAGCGTCACATGCTTCGGCGTCAGCGCCGATTTCGCTCAGCAATCGGCCTAATGACGTCGTGCGCCGTCGCGGACTTCTGAACGTTAGCACATGTTAGTCAAAATCAAAGCCATCACACAACACCACAACAATTGTAAGAACTGAACACCTAAGCGCGATCTTCGACGTCGTGAGCCCGGGACCTCAAATTATCTGCTGAGTCAATAGAAAGTAACTTGATGGATTCAATGGAATAAAAAGTATAGAATCGCAATCGGATTTGGGTCGCACTCAATCCAAGCTCAGTTTCAGATATGCCGAAGAAATTTTTACGTGCTTGCTGTTCCATGAACAGCATCAAACTTAAAGGCAGTGGTCGCGATAGCTGAGAAGAAGCGACAGGTTGGGCATATCATTTGTGGAACAGTAGGGAGACGTCGTTAAAAATATGCCCCTTGCGTGGAGGACGGAGGGCTAAATCGAGACGCGCCACCCACAGCGGCCGTTAAGAAAAAACCTTTTAAACTACAATGGTGGGGCGGGGGGAAAAAACCAAAAAAAAAAAGCGTTAAAGGGCGTAACTCCGGGCCAAAAAAGTTTCGGACCGCGTGCGCGCTCAACTACGCACCTTTGGCACCGAAATAACCACGCTCCCCCCTTGCCCTGACCACTGCTCCCGGGGGCATTTACTTCCGTGCTGTACACACACTTTATCGTAACGCCTTGCTTCGAGATGATAAGGGATGATTCGATTTCCGATCTCGAAAACGTTGCATTGTCTTCCGGGGTCCGTTGAGTTGGATCCCGGAAGACAATGCAACGTTTTCGGGAATTTGGGAAATTTCAAGGGTTACTCCGGTAGCAAAGGCGGCTTTTTAACAGTGACCAATAATCAGGTACAGATGTTCACCGAAGAAGCTCTGAAGTCGTGGCAGTTAAGCCGCAATCACAAGCGAAGTTGACAGGAACTTAGAACCATGCCATGATTACCAATCAGAATCAAGAACAGCATGCGATGCTAAGTTATTACTCCTTACAGCTGGACAGCAGGCTTTACACACGTGGCGTAGATAACTAAAGGTCTATAGCGTCTACAGTGCATTCTTAATGCTCACGGGATCACCGCCAAAAAAGCACGATGCTTTGCAAAAAGTGGTGAAAGAGCGAGCTATAGGTAAAGTATAAGGATCTCGTTGCATAGAAACAGTCTATGTACTCACCCCGAATTCGTGTGCCTTCTGAGAAGCAGCTGAAGCAGCTTGTTTGGCTGACGACTGGAAAACGAAGTTTCAGAAAAGGTTGACGAAATAAAGACGTATGACGGAACCTTGGAAACTGAGCCTATGAAAATTAACAGAACGTTTTCTTAGAGGCACTTACCGAGATTAGACCAGCGAACTAATTCCTCCTGCCAATGAGTTTTCTGGGTACATTACCACAGAGCTAGGGCCACCTGGGTAACTCAAAACTCACAGAAGGGACGCTACGGGTTTAAAATTCGTAACCATGCCCTCAAGAGAGCAACCACGCACAACCTTCTCAGCGGTGTCTGATGCCTCATCCCTGCTACGCGCTCTCGACTCCGTCTGATGGTCTCTCGTCCTCGGCACCCAGTATTTCTTAGCTTGCCTGTCTCTCAGATTCTCCCACCATACAGAGAAAAAACTGGACTTTTTCAGATGTTTCTTTTCCTTTATTCTTCATTGGCAAAACATTTAGCACCCCTGTTTCATATTTGAACCCCAAACTTGAACTCTGCTGCTATCGCGGAACGTGACTTGAAAGGCCCATTTCGCGGTAGCAACAAAAGGGTGTAACGGCAAAGAGGTTGTTCTACAATCACAAAGTCGCAGAGGATAACTTTTCCGACCCTATACATACTATGGCGGCCCTAGGGCTATGTGAGTACTCGAACATTTCTTCATGTTCTCTGCGCGAATGGCTAAAGCATAGACGATTAGAATAGGGTACCCGGCTCGGCTCAAAATCCCAAAAAGGAAGGTGTAAGCTCTAAGAAGAGACATTAGAGAGAGGAGGGATTCCGGTGGCCGTATCCTATCCTTACCCCCGGAGGCCATTTCTCCCGCCGCTGATTCAATCCTAGGATGGGGAGACAGGGTTGCGTCATAGGACCAGCCATACTCTGCGTTTCTAGATTCCAGACAGCGCGACCCTTAGAGAAAGAGTGCCTCAACAGGGGAGGGTAGCTACAACATCACGCGTTCAATGGCGGTCCTATGACGCAACCCTGTCTCCCCCAACCTTAGGATAGGATCAGTGGCTGGGACGCGTCCTCCTGAAGGAACGATAGGATACCGCCCTGAGGTGGGTGGGCCAAAAACAGTGTGGCATAAGTTCGAGTGAGGTAAATCATAGTAGTCATGAAGCCGCTGTTCAGAGCCAGAAAGCGCAGACGAGAGCATCAATCTGAGGGTTTTAAAGGGACCGAGTTTGAAAGCCAGTAGATCAATCTCTCCCTATGATGTGCAGCTAAATTCCAAAAGCAACCAAACAACCACGTGCTATCCATCTTACTATGAATATTACAGGCCCAGCGCGCGGACAAAGCAACGGGACGCTCCACAAAAGCCGTCACATTGCTGGCCTTGTTGCGGCCCATCCTGGGAACCGTCGCACACACTCATGAATTCGGACTTCCTGCCCAACGCAAATGTTATTGAATTTTGAAATCATCACCTGCTGCGCTTTGCTCTTCACGAGCATGGGCTGATAATTGGGAGGCCTTTTGTGAAGCAGCACTCGACAACTCGTCAACCTTCTGCTTCGCATGTTCAAGCGCTTTTGCAGCGGTATCCTCAGCCGAATGCAACTGAAAAGCATTAGAATTATAGGGTGAACTATAGAAAAACAATAATTACACTGGAAATAAGAGACTGCAGTAATACGGGGTGGAATATGCGTAAAAAGGTAGAGACGCAGGCTGAAATCTGCATCTCTCACATAAATGTTGGGAATTGTGGCCAGGCTCTCATTTACAAATAAACATGTGTTTCTTTAGTTAACGAAGGGGTTATGCCATCATGCATTACAACATTTAACCAACCAATCGATAACTCTTAGAATCGATTTATTTATCGTTATCAAGCCTCAATTTTTCTTCTTCCCCCCAGAATAATCCTTCATATGTTAGCTTCAGCAGGCAGAAAGAAAACGTTATCGCTATTGGTACACTACTAAACTGAACACGAAAACACATTAGAGGAGTCGTGCACGGGAACGGCATGGTCTTATGATTTTATCCCCCCCCCCCCTCCCCACCCGATAAACGGGTTTTGGCTTTGGGGACGCTTTTACTTTTACGACGAAACGAAGAGCGAAAAAGTTGCGTTTGTTTTGGTAAACAATCCGAAAATTTGCGCGTTCAAATTCCCGCCGTAGAACTGCCACAAATGCTCGCTGCGGGTACGCTTCCATTTGTCTCCTGGAGTGTCGTTACTAGAAAATCTTTCTGGGCTCGTCACCTATAGCACGAACATTTCACTTTTCAGTTGAACCCTAATCTTTCAACGCTTCACTTTTTACGGTATTGCTTTGATTGGTTTGAAAAATTTTTTTCTTACGGACACTCCACTAATCTTGTCTCTCACCACGCCTGCGTTTACTATGCGCCCACTTTGCTCTCCGCCTAGGTGTCTGTGAACTGCCATGAAGTATGGTTTCAAAGGTTCTTTTTCAGGGACTAATTTTTCATGAACAGAGCTCTACGCTAACCACACGTTACACATCTATGAGGAGACGGAACACAACAAGCCTCCATGCACATATTCCTTTGAAGCGAGCAAAAGTTATCGATTGCGTTAGAGGTAAGCAAAACGGGCGTACACACACACAAAAAAGCTAATGACCAGCGGACGGATGACATATGGGATTACATGTCAGACAAAAATCACTTTCACCCACAGCTTCCACAGTTTTTTCAGTAATTTTTTCCACACAATTGGCGGCCGTGTCCAGTGGATTCTTTAGCTGATTGGACGATAGCGTTCACAGTACTGTGCAATTTATCCTCAAAACCACCGGAGCCTCCTTGGGATTGGACCTAAAGCTCACACAAGCACTGAAAACTACTCATGCATCACAACAACAATATCGATTGGAAGTATCGTCCACGAGAACTGGTGATCCACGCCATCCTGAGGAAAGCGAACCAGCCCTTTGGCGTTTCTGCTGGGCAGTATGCTGAATGTGGAGAGGGGACCGGGTCCCAGAGTTCCACGGACTACTTGAACTCGGTCGGTACGGTAGGAGAGTGATGACGAAGTGGTGCAGCTAGGTCCAGCAGCTCCGCCAAAAGGGCTGGTTTGCTTACCCAGGACTAAGCCTTGGAGAGAGGACGGACCTGCGAGGACTTCCTCTCTTTAAGGCTTAGTCCTGAGGTAAGCATCAAATTGAGGCGGTTTTAAAGGACCGAGTTGAAGTAGTCCGTCGACCGTCGGGGACCCATCCCCTCCCCAACATTCAGCATACGGCCCCAGCAGAAACGCCAAAAGGGCTGGTTTGCTTACTTCGCTCCCGACCACCCTGTGGTCCGTTGCAGCTCGACAATTCCGCGCTCACCAACTGACCCAATCATGACTTTATGCTGACAGAGCTACACAAGCAGACTTTGTACGGGGTCAGGACGTGGGCAACACAACAGTCTCGTGGACGGCCTTCAACTGCAACACAGACATAAAGCATACACGAGTACTCAAGCCGTACGAGAACTACATATATGAGAATTTACGATTCGGTGGTTATTGTTCCACTATGGACTAATTACCTAGTCATGTGCCCAGCAGGATGTGAAAAAACGTCTGCTGCACAGGTAGTTTACAGTAGTTACTGGACGTTTCGGAGTTATATATATTTATTACACGAGCTATTGTTCAGTGCCCAAAATATAGTCAATTGCATCATATTACATGCGCTATCGCGCCGCCGCGCGCCGTCACTACGGCTAACTCTAGAACGCACATCTTCACAAACCTTGATTCCGATCATTAATAATCCTACACCAAATCTTACACAATGATAAAACAGCTCTCAGTATTCACAAGAATGCTGGGTTGTGAACAAAACTTTCGCCCCAGGCGGGACTAGAACCCGCACCTCTCGCTTTCCGGGCAAGTGCGCTACCAGTTACGCTACCGGGGCACCATTTCATCCCAACTCAGCTTTTCATGGTATACGTATACTTGTTATACGCAGCGAACTGCGCATTAAAACAGCAGTTAACAAACAAAACAGCTCTCAGTAGTTCAAAAGAATGCTTGGTTGGTAACAAAACTTTCGCCCCAGACGGGACTCGAACCCGCACCTTTTACTAACCCAGCATTCTTG